TTTATCCTTCCACCCACCTTACAATGCAGCAAACATATGTAGATGTGGTTACACAGTCATAAATGTTTCCATTTTGAATTAATATATCAAGCAAACATTRCTATTTTTTTCTTGCATTCAGTTTTGTGATATGTGTCTTCATATGATTTGACCATATGTATTTTCACTGAAACACAAAAATAAATATTCAATTAAAAAATATGTGTTTACCAAGTACTGACATAATTATCATAATTATCATAATTATGCTGCAAAATATGGAAATCATGATGTTCTGGCTTCATGAAATAAATCTAAAATATTGAGATTCAGTTTGTTTAGTTCTKCTCTATTTTAATTTGTAGCTTTTGMCTTTTGGRRGCCTTTCTTAGTGATTATGAAACTGCCAAGAAAGATCTTCCACACATTAATGAAAACCTTTGAAGACAACTCAGTGTATTAAATGAGATTGAGATACAAATTTTTGCACACCACTTGCATGTCTGTGTTTTCCCTGAAATCTTACTGTAACAGAATTTAATTTCAWGTCTTGGGCAGTTTTCTTTGAAATTTCCTTACATGCAGAAATTCAGGCCRATGAGATTTGTCCCATTCAGTGGATCATAGTATTCACAGGTATCAACTTACTGCTGATGCACACACCAACTTAAGTTTTTCCTTTACACATTTAAGTTGGTCCACATTTTCCAAATAGAAACATRGAATATGTGGTTATAAGCAGTACAAGCAAAGCCAAATAAACAAATTATTTGTTAGAAACTGTCTTTTTTTATTTCTATTATTCTTTTCTTCTTGTGAAAACTAAGTCTATCACAAAGTGTTACAAATATATGCTTGCATGTTTAGTGAATAATGAAAATGATCCCTGMTAATTCTGTAATAGAATGAAACAAATATACAAATTTGAGGAGATTTTAGTCCTCATATTTTGAAGTTATTTTTCTCTGTAGTAGACTTCTTAGTTTTAGCTTGGTATTGACAAAAAACCCAAAAACTCCAGTAATTCCAACAATGAAAACTTTGCTAAAATATGCTAGAGACAGATTTCTCTGGCAACATTTTAACTAATCCGTCTGGAAGTTGTCCATGAACTTCTGAACAGGGTGCTATGCAATATTATATAAGTGCATGAAAGATCTTTTCTGCGAAGACTCTCCTTGGATTATGGGTCTTTGATGTGTTTTGTTTGAAGTAGTAARGAGACTACTTATTCAACAAAATGTCTCCCTAACCATGCCAAAATTCAGCTTTCAGGGAGAAAAAAATATATGCAAAGTTCTGGGTATTCTGATAACACTGAGGGGGCATGACTGAAAATGTCCTTTTAGTGTATGATTTTTATTTATACATAAAATTCTCATGTGACTACCATCAGTACCCATGTGTCGTTTCAAATACTAATTTTAACAAAATTCTGGGAGTTTTTTGTAGAGAATCTGAGGAGCAAAAATGCAGACTTTGCCTGTGTGAAGTGCTATCTTGCAAACTAGATTTTGCTGAATAGGCAGAAAAGAGCTGCTGATTCTCTACCACATTCCCAGCAAAGAATCAGTTCCACTGCTGTTGTGGACAGCTTTAATTTAAAATTTAGAATATTCAAGGATCACATTGGGGGCTGTGGTTTAAAAAAATGTGCTTTCCTCTTCTCATGTCATGATAGGTATTGCCAACTTCTTTTGGTACCTGCTGCAGTTCTATTTCATGGTGAGAGGGAGAAYGTGTATGTTTTCTGCTCACTGTGCTAACTTCTAGCATATGAGGTGCCCTTCACTTTGCCAAGGGTAATTAGGCAGTATAGTTTGATGTTGTTTTCTGAAAAATACACTTTATGAGTGGCTAAAGGGTCATGAAACACTGTGTTTTTTTTATTTTCCTAAASGTATTGTGCATCTTGGGTTGAAAATACTAAGTATGTATCTTAAACTTCCTGAGTATTTAGTAAATGGATATTGGTTTAATTCATTTATTGATTGATTTGGTATTGGTACACCTACACATAGATACCATTTCATTAAACTCTTTGGGAGAACTAAAATTAGATTGRTAGATTTTRTTTGGTTTGGTTTTTTGACTTGTWCTTATAAGTGGAAAAGAGTAAAATKTATCTTTAACAGGTATTTGCTATAGTAATAGTTTGTCCACAWGCCTCATTGTTAAAACATTCTGTATTGACATGATTCCAAATGAAGCTACTTAAAAGAAGTGTGAATAAGTTAAATCAGACATRGATTTTTATGACTCAATAAATGTAGCCTTTATCACATACAARCCTTCAAAACTGACATTGACTGATCTTAAGAATTTCTATCCAGAATGGTAGTTACACATCTTCAATTTTGAAGTATATTCTATTATAAGCCTATATATATACAAAAAAAATCTATGTAGTTTATAAGTTTAACTCTTTCTCCATGAGCCAATGTGGTGGAGGCTTTTCCTTTTCACTGCATCTTTCCCTCTATTGTCATCAAGGCAGAGATAGTAGTCTACAGGTTGAATCTGAGCCAAAGGTTCGTTGTCAGTCCTGCCTGAACTCCTAGATCCTTGTGTCTTACAAAAGTTTTGCTTCTTAGACTTAGGGAATTTGTTCTCCGTCCTATCCTCATGGAATTGCACATTACAGTCAGAAGACTTTGCCAGCAGTTTCACTGGTAGATTATTTGTAGTTTTCTTTCCTTACAGGCTTTTTTAGCACCTCAAGCAGGCTGTCCTTAAATTGACTTGGTGGTTAGCTGTAGTGCACGCTGAATGAAAAAAATGAGTGCTGTAAATATGGACAGGATRCAATTATTTATAAATGTATATAATTACACACACATACACACATATATAGATATACAAACACAAATTCAGAAAATATGATTGACTTTWATCTCAGCATTTAAAGAACTTAACTGTGGAATCAAAACATATGTAATACGATGTTAAGATTACCTATAATTGTAATTATGAGAATGCATTATTGACATTGATARGTTCACATTTTATGAACTTTCAGGGTTTTCTGGAAAACTTTTCAGTTGTGCTGATGCACTGAAAAAAAAGATAAGAAGTRTGTTAATCAAATAACAAGAAAACTCACTGATTTTTGTTGCTGTTTTGATAGCGTATGGTATGTGTATGTTGAAAGATAAACATAACATTTTATCCTGTGTTTACATGTGAGGTGATTCTAATCAATAGCTTTTTCTGAAGTACAGAGATGTCAAGTGAATAGTTTGCAGCCATTCGTTAACTAGTTTTTAATTAACATTGCAAACACACCTTTAAAGAAAAGAAGGAATAAGAAAGTTTAACAACTCCAAGCTCTTCTGTATGAGCTGAAGAGCAACTGTGTTGTGTCAGACCAAGGTTCCATCTAGAGCATGAATCTGTCGCTCACAGGGACTAACAGACAATGCTTAGAGGAAAAAAATAAGCAGAGTAAGGATGTAGAGGATGTAGAGCTGCCTCCCCCATGTATCTTCTCTTAGTCTTTAGTTATTTGTACTTTAGGAAMTTCCTGATCTCTCTGTTTTTAGTAGTCCTGAGGAAATTTTTTTTTTTTGTCATTTAGTTCAATCTCTCCTGAAGTCTGTGTGACATTTAAAYATCCAAAATATGGCTTGGCCAAGAGTTGCACACCTTAACTACAATTTTCTTGAAGAATCRTTTGCTCTTGTTAGGTTTGAATCTGCCATTTCTGAATTTCTGTTGGTATCACCTAACTTCTGACAACTCATTACTGTCATCAGCATTCAGATATTGTGACAGTGGGCATTAAAAATTCCTAAGATAGATGAATGAGGTGTTTTATCAAAATAATTGTTTTGATATTTAACATCTGGAATCTAATATCTGTATATAATTTGTATGTTTTGGAAGCAGATGTTCACTGTAGCTCCTTTCAAGATGTTTCTCTTTTTGTCTTTGACATCCTACTGTTATGGATTAAAATAAGCAATTTGGCAACTACTCAGGCCTTTAAATAAACTTTAATAAGTTGGAAAATCATTGCATCACTCGTGGCGCCAGACCAGCAGCTATCTATATACATGTTTCTTTTCCTCTTATGCAAGAGTTGTTTCCCCTTTTTATTTACTAAAATCTTAGCTTATTTATCACCTTTTCAATRAACAAAATGTACAAGGATAATTTTTGCTTTCCATTTTGTTTAATAAAATCAATATATCTTTACGCATATCCAAAATTTAAGATAATGAAACTTATCTACTGTTTGGTGGAAATCAGATAGAAGTCACGAGTGAGAATGAGGTGAATTAGAAAAGATACTTGAACTAGACTTTTATTAGGCACTTCTGCAAATAGAAGTAAGAAGTGTGAAAAAGATGGTTTGAATGCCATTTCATGCTATATCATTACATAGCTGTTATGGCTGTTCGCAGAAGCTTCTTGTAGAGTCATAGTCCTAACAGGAAAGTTTGCTAGTACCAGTATGGTTGTGTGTGTTTTTACAGTAAATGAAGACTTTACTGCACTCATTTAAGCACATGTTCTCCTGCATACCCTTATCCAAGGACAGTCCAAGTRCATTTGTATTCTCAGTGTAAAAACTGACCCTTGGTATAACAGTATCTTTACACTGAGTTTTTAACCACAGTATAGCTTTCTCTGTTTGCATTTAATGAAGTCCTATGTGGAATATTCTAGATTCTTGTAGTGTATCAATGGCTCAATTCCTGACATCTGCAATCTTTAAAGATTAAATACCATCCTTGCAAAAAATCATCAGCCAAACTGAAAAGTATGCAAAGATAGAGTAAATAAGAAGTGTGATCAGCTAACAAAAAGTCAAAGCATCAAGAAATCCTTCCATTCTAGATAGTTTAAATTTTATAGAATCTAAAATACATATCTTAAAGTGTATTCTTGTATTGCTGAAGACAGTTATTATGTAATTTAAAATTAATGTTAATTATATTTTTGTTCTATACAAAGTTGATCATGGAAAATATGTTATGCCTTAAATGTTAATTGTCTTCTCTTTTTTAACTGTATAGTGTTTTGGCTGGATATAATGGAACTATCTTTGCATATGGTCAGACCGGCAGTGGCAAAACTTTTACCATCACAGGAGGAGCGGAACGTTACAGTGATCGAGGCATCATTCCCAGGACTCTGTCTTATATCTTTGATCAGTTGCAGAAGGTATAGGACATTGTTTTCTGTTTATTGTTAATGTCTGGTTTACAAATACTTAAMTATTGCTGAAGATTGTTTTTATAATAGTGTTAGAGGAATCCCTAAGACTAATACTGAAGAAAATAGCTAACACAACATGGTACTTACTTTGTGAAAGCATATATTTGTAATTGTGTTGGTTACTTGGTTTGTTGCAAGAGTCTGAAAATAAYGGACGTTGTTGGAGGGGGTTTGTAGTTTTAAAGCCCAGGCTATTTTTGGTTGGTGTAGCATACATTCAGCTCACACAAGTGGTTCTCCTTGTCTTAGCACTTATATCAATCCCACTGTGATTTTGTATTTTATGCATTGCATTTCATTTTGACATTCTATGCAATGAAATGAGTCAATAAGTGAAAGGGTATGCCAGAGTAGGCACACTTATTGTCCATTATGTTCTTATGTTTGTGAGAAATTCAATTTTCTTTTAGTATCTGAAATACTTACATGAGTAAACGCAGTTATCATTCTGGTACTTTCCTAATTGTAGGARGCAAAAGTGAAGAGATGAAGAGGTGTAATTTATGCTTTTTCTCTTCATTTGCTCCACCRGGCCTATGATATATTAAACATTAATCTTCACATTTTAGCAAAGCTATTTAATTAAGTCAATTTAAATATTATTTGACATTAATATAAATAATTCCACTGTACTTTTATACTCTGTCATTCATGTACTATGGAATACCAATTTGTATTCATAAAGGTATATGTCTCAGTCATATTAACATGCTCTGTCTCAGTAAGGGTTAACAACTGTAAGTAACTACTTTGGCTCTTTGGAATTATGGCTTTGGCAGGTAAATGTACACASCATATTGCAGGTGCACAAAATTTTGTTGGAATGGAAAAACCCTCCCATGTGATCATGTGACCTTCGTTTCCTTCTGGTACACTCACACAACACCCAGGGAGCAGGTTTTGCATGTAATTGCCAACAGCAAACAGTGTCAACACACCATTATTTTCTATGTTAATTATGTGATGAAAAACAACTAATATGTTTGTTTCCTTCTCTGCACATCAATAAAAATGTTCCCTCTTCAGGCTGTATTTTGGATCAAAAGTTACGCTTGGTTATGCTGATAGGGCTATTTCTATTTTCCTGCTTCCAAATCATTGTTTCAAATATTTTCTTTTCCTCAGTGTGTTTTAAAGAATCTCTTCTTGGTGTTTAATTTTTCCTTTTGCCTTTCTTTTCATATCCTTCCCCTGTTTAATTTCTTTATAACTAAAACTGTGGTTTGGAAGGTGCTCAAATAGTGGAGAAGAATCATCTACYTTCTAACCCTAAGTAGGATGAAACAGGAGAAAGTGAAATCAGGGACACAAAATACAAAACTTGTGAAGCTCTTACTTGGACAAAGRCTGTACAATTTGAAACCAAGGAAACAAATCTTTTTCCCCTAAATGAGAAGCAAATAAAGCCCTTTGTTTTTAATAACATCTCCTTTTAATTTAGAAATTCCCCTATTTCCACAGCATCCTGTTTGAACTGTTCTTTACCACATTTTTTCCATTCATCTGTAGTGTATCTTTTAAATCATGTCCCTTCTAATAGTGAATTGTCATTATCAATTAAAAAAAAACATGAGAAGTAATTATTAAATAAAAACTACAAGTTRTATAGTTATATCTCAAAGTATGTTGCAAAACAATGTAATGAATTGAATTATTAAATTTCTACTGTCTTATGAGTGTTTTCACAGTGGCTTTGTCTGCTGAAGTGACTTTTTTATTCTTTTTTATTCTTTTTTTATTCTTTTTTTTAAATTTTGGAAATCATAGCCCACTATTTTGAGGTTTATGTTGTTTGGATTTGGCTTTGGAGCAGGGGAAAATTCTGTCTGCGAAACCCAGTTGTGTTAAATTACTTTTTGGCAACATGATATACCAAAATTGTGATTGCAGAGAAGAGCTGACATCATATACAGCACTCTAATGTTATGATGAAGAGAGTGAAAAGCAGTATGTCACTGATGTTTCTAAATGAAGTAAATATTATTTTTGTTGCTGTTTTTACTTTTCTTTGTTTTTTAAGCGTAGTCTTTCTATCTATATGAGGGTTTATCTTTTTATAAAAACATTATTTTTTCCTTGTAAAAATGAAAAACTACATATTGCACAGTCCTGTAAGCAGGCTCCCATGTTCTAAATATATACAGACTTTTTTAGGTATAAGGAATCAATTAAAAATCCCAGACTAAACTYATGGGCATGRTGGGGTTTTGGRGGGGATTTTTTGTTTTAGTGGGTTTTTTGTGTATGCGTGTGTGTCTGTTTTGGTTGGGGGGTTTTGTTTTTTCCTTTCTTTTTCTTTAGTCTTTATACATATGGTAACAGAAAACATGAAAGAATCACAAATTGAAAATGTACACCATACCCAGGGCAAGGAAAAGAGACAGASTGAGAAAGTAACCTAGAAGCCATGGAAATAAATTTGTCTTCTGATTTCCCCCTGACTTCTCTTTATAACGCTTATTTTTTTCTTATCCAGGATAGCAGTAAAGTATATACAACTCATGTTTCCTACTTAGAAATCTACAATGAATGTGGTTATGATCTGCTGGACCCAAGACATGAGGCCTCCAGAATGGAAGATTTGCCGTAAGTAATAAGATTACAGAAAACCATCAAAACCATAACAGAATATATTGTTCTGGGGACTTTTTGAAGTTGTGCTACTGATCTCAGTGTTAATTTAATCAGAGTACTTTGTTTTCCCAATTTTATCAACATTGCCTAAATTTTCTATTTTGTATGTATGGAGGCTAGGGAGACTAGATGGAAGATGAAAGGATTAAAAGTGTTTTTTACTATTATGCAGAAGAGATCTCTTGCAGCCACTGACAAGGATAAGGTTCACTTGTTTTTCTCATGGCAGCTTGTCTCTTTGTATGGCATGTATGACTGTGTGTGGCAGAGACAAGTAACACACGATATTTCCTTGCAACAGTAATGAGAAAAGTTCCYTGCTTCCATTTGGACCTTTTCCTTCAAGGGTAATTACTTTTCCAGAATATGAAATAAGATAAGTAACAGCTAGAAAATAGGCCACAAGAAACTCCAAAGAGCAGTGTGTTTGCTTCAGAATGGATGATTGTTATAGTTGTTGTCATTGATCAGACACTTGCACTTACTAATACTTGGAGAAGAGTAGTAAACAAAGGTTTGTGGGACATGAACACTCCAGCCGGTGAATTATAGATATCTAATTTATAGGAAATCTAAATCCTCATTTCCAAGACTGAAATAATAGTTTATAGTCTGTTATTCTTGAAATAACTAAGCAAACACTAGGTTTGAATAAGTGAGTTGTTGATTGGATTTGCAAATGCCCTGAAATAATGCTGGGCACCATAAATTTTATCTCTCAACATGATGGTAACAGGCACATGTAAATAGAAATTAAATTACTGCTGATACAAGAGCAGGAAACACACTGAAAATTTTCAATGGGGCAATAACAGAAAATCAATAGAATTTTGTATTGAAATAACTAATTATGTTATTCACATACTATTAAACCATTTTATTTATTAAAAAAAATCTCCCAACACAGTAATTTTCTGTGTTTAAATTAAGCTTTAGTTTTCCACACAGTACGGGGTATCTAGGACATGTATATACAAAATAATTTTCAACACTGATATAAAAGAAKGTAGTCTAGGGGTTAGGAAGGCAGCAGACAAATGCAAAGTATGAGACTGGGTTTCTAATTGATCTCATTGTTTCACTTTCTTCACCTGAAAAATGGAAGTAAAATGTATCACTTTATGACACATTGGTGCTACAWGTACTGTCTGCATTTACCAGTGTCTTTCCTTGCAAAGTTTAGGATCCTAAGTTAATTTATTACCTGCTTCCTGTGGTATRCAGTTAAAAATTTTAATCAGAGGCTAATTTGGATAATAATTTTATTTTTGTGTTCATTTGTATGGTATGTAGAAAATAGTGTTACACTGTCATTCACCTTATCAAATTTAATGCTAGTAAGTTATTCAAGTTTATTGCATTATTAATGTAATTCATTAAGTTATTTGAAATATTTTACCTGAACTCATTCYATTTAACATTTTATGAAATTGAATTTATTCAATTCAAATAAATTGCATTTGACTAATTTAGTTGCAGCTTTGAAACAGATATTTGGGAGTCATATGCACTGGAAAATATGTCACATTTTAAAAGTAGGTACTGAATATTTGCTAATAATTGTGAGTTTTAAAATCTCCAGATTAGTATATGTATGGTGATCCATACATGAGGTTAACTCTTTATTGTGTATAAGGTTATTTTAAAATACAAAAGTTGATAAATGGTTTGTTTGTAAATTAGGATAAAGCATAGCGGGGTAATCATAATTACCTGTAAACTTACATAGTGTATACTACTGTAGGATGAGTTTYAGTGAGATAATAAATTTTTCTCTGCAGAATAACTAATAAGTGCTTTAAGGCTTTACTCTGCATGGACATTGTTATTTCCACTACACCATTTGTCAATAAGATATGTTCTGTACATTAAAACTATACCTTTATGACTCATATTTAACGTGTAAAAATACTTAATTAACAAAACATGCTTTGTTTATTTTTTATTATTGTAGTTTGGAGATTCAAAAATTGAAAACATATACTGTCATTCTGAGCTGAGAGAGTAAAAATTGCAGGAATGTGTAGTTGCATGATTGTATTTCAATTGCTTGATTAATTTGCATAAATGATAAAGTAGAAGTTACATATAAATAGTAAGCACATATTTTAAAATTTATCAKGTGTTTATTACCTAATATGTATTTAATTTTTATGATAATTTAATGTAAGAGCTCTTAATATTTTAGTGATAGTAAGCAAAATACAAAATAATAACTTTCTTCAGTTTGATTGAAAGTATTTAATGATAATATTAAAAATAACAACGTTTTCTTTACTTTAAATATGTCATATTATGCATCATTTTCTGTTGAGCTCCACAGTGAATCATCTAAGCTTTAATCACTAAGCACAAAACATCTAAATTTTAAGCACTATACAAAGCCAAAGGTAGGGTATTTACCCAATGTTCTTGGTAAATATTAGCAGTCAGTGTCATACTTTCCCAAGTATTTAAGATGGACAGGAAGGGTATTGACGAAATGAGTCATTTTAGAATAAGCAAAAATATTAGTTAACCTCATATAGTATGCAGATTGTTCTGAACAGAATTGTTATCCATATTGCTGCAAAAGAAGGGGATACAGTTTGAATCAAAGACACRTACTTCTGACCAGCAAACTCTACATTGGCTTTATGTTACCAGTCCAGTGGAAGGAATAAGCAAAGATTGCATTTGGGTAATAGAAGTTATGAAAGGCTTGTTRATAGACTATAGGCTTGTTGACAGTACTTGAAAAATGAGACATTAAAATTGTATTTGATGCTTAAGGCAAAGTGAATAATAAACATTTTAAAAATTGTCCATTGCCTTTAATCATTACATGATTAGATTTGGAATCTCAGCTCCTGAAGTCAAGGGTTTGTGTGTAGCCATAATTTGTATATTCTGTAGACTATGAAATTTTCATCTTAACATTGCTTATTCATTTCATTAGAGGCTGCCAGATGAGAATGGAGGAGGCTCTCACAAAAATAGTCGCTGCCTTTCTGGAAATAAATTAATGACAAATGCATGAATATGGTCTATGTRTCTTCACATCTGTATGTCTATCTATATGTATACATATATGGGTTCGCAGAAAAAAATGTGTAATTATTTACATATGCATGCCTATGTAGATATATTGATGTATGTATACATGTTTCTGATAGGTACAGATATTTCTACAGCAAGTGAGGGTGGTTTTGAAATTCCATTAAACTTTTATTTAACAGAAAAAGCTAGTTTTCTTAATGTTTATTTGGAATGATATTACACGTAACCCATTTGCTATACTTTATTGTTTCATACAAAAGATAGTTTAGTATATGTACTAAACTTGTAAACTTGTTTTATTATACRAAAGTGACAGTGTTTTAATTTTGTGATGCTGTAGCTGAAATCCAGCATATGCAGATGCAAAAAAAAAACATTTGAAGAATTTACCAGCTGTAATGCAAGAATTGAATTTAATATTGACAATCTCATTCTGTTTGTAGGTATGGAGAGTTCTATGTTTATACAAGGGCATTATGATTGTTCTCAAACACATGAAAAGTATAAAATCATTGCTCTAAAATAAGCTAGAAAACTATTTAGATAATTACTGCTGCCTTATGTTTTCATAAAGGTCTGTTCAAATTAGGAATATTTTTCTGAAGCTCTTCATTTCCTATGCATTTATGCAAGAGCCTTTTATCTCCAACAGGTTCTGTTGTARTGTATTTGTAATTTATGTAACCCAGCATTACTGAATCTAACCAATTTCACTTTAGTTACAATCTACCAGTAAAAACTCTTCCTAACTTTTTGTTATTTGTTAAGCAGTAAGAATTTTATTTTGGCACTGAATATAACACAAAAGTAAAGACTAAAGTTACAGAACCATTAGTCAAGAATTACTAGATTAAGTCATAGATAACCAGTTACTGCTTTACCTGTCCTATGGCAGGTGACCCCTTGCATCTAAAGGCAGACTAAAATTAGTGCTGTTTTGCCCTAGAATGACAATCTAAACTGCAGTAGTTGAGGAGCTGTTTCTCAGGTAGCTCAGGAGTGATGGAGCCAGAGGAAAACATAATCTAAACTTCAAGTCAGYATAAGTGATTCCCTATTTTTGTGTGAAGATTTTTTTAAAGTCTTCTGAGAGGGAAATGWATAAGTTTTTGTATGATGCTGGCTGATTTTAAGAAAACTACACTTAAAAGCAGAGAGCAAATTAACTTCAAACATCAACAGTGATGCCTGTATCAATATATGCTAGCAACACACAGAAGTGTTATGTTGCATGGGGTCAGTGTGAAATATTTTCATTTTAAAATAAAATCTGTAACTGGATATTGGTTAACTAACTCAAATGAGTTTATACTCTGCTGTTTCTCCACTGCCCTCCAAGGGCTTTAAGAATTATCAAATTGCTGACATGGAAAGCTAAAACAACTAGTATAATAATTCCTGTGTTGATTAACAAAAAAGGATGAAAAAAAAAAAGGCTGAAGGTATAATTTTCAACATACAGGAAATATATTTTATTCATTCTGATTTTTTTGTTGCAAGCAAACCTGATGTTCCTATTCAGGCTCAACAGGATTAGTATCAGCTGCTTTCAATGGCTGTACCAACTATGTAATCTGGAAACTGACCAACGTCCATAAACATTCAAGAGCTATATTTTCAATCTTCTGAAAATTACCAGTAAATTTCTAAGGCTAATATTAGTATCAGTTCACTTTTTTTTTTTTTTAATATTAGATACAGTCTTTCAAAATTAAGAGTGTTCATTGTGTTTCTACTGAATCCCAAAGGTTAGAGTACCGGGTTCTGTAAGGTTAAGCTTTTTTTTTTTGTTAATAAGGAGACTGCTAAAAACTGTTTCAAATTATTTCTTCTAAGATTGTTGTTTTTCATTACTGTTCAAACAAATTGCSCTTTAAATGTATACAGTAACTTCAGCATACGTAATATATTGGTTATTCACATCCATATTTTATGTTGATTTTTTCCTGAAAAAGAGTAGAAAGTCAGTGAAGATTTTCTAAGATAACTTTTCTATACACATTTCACGAGTTAATATCAAAGTTTATGTAACAACTATCTTTTTGTGAATGAGGTCGCCTGCAAATTCTAGCATATTTTGTATGTTTTGTTCGAACATGATCCACCAATCTCATTGGTTCAGTTTTGATTCCTTGTTGGARTGGTGGGGTGGAGGGAAGAGAGAGAGTGCACAGCTTTTTCCAGATCACAGTGAGAAAGGCCTAGCAACAAATGGCTTAATAGGGTATCTACTTCTGTAAGACAGAGTAAGAGGTGAAAGATCAATGGCAAGTAAATCCTGCATCCTATCAGATGCTGGGTGCCCTGCATTCATTGCACAGAGCCTGAATAGATTTCCCATGGCACACTGTGCAGAGAAATACAGTTCCTGGCCATGGAGCGAAAATCTCCCTTTTGATCTTTTGAGTCTTTGTAGAATTTCCTTACAAGAAAACAGCTTCATTCTAGGTGTTCTCATGAGAACTTAGTGAATTTCTCCTGCAGTCAAGGGATCTGTGCAGCACATCACAGGCTGTGCCTGCTCAGGCTCTCTGTTGCATGAATCATTAACTCCTAAATGTGTAACAGTCTCGCASTCATGTCCCTAACATCCAGAACAGCCAAACTGTGTTTTTGTTGTTTCAAAACAGAATCCATTGGAAACAGCGGGAAGCATTTCCTATCACAATATGATGTGTCAAGCAAATAGTCACTTACTCATCTCATAGTTCTGCCATGTCTCATAAGGAGATTATGCTCTAGATTTCTACTTGAACAGAAAATTAAATACATCTGCTATTGAAAGTTGTGCTGGTAGCTGAGTAACTTTGGAACCTTACCTGTTGARTAAGTGTTGACACTGTCCTCTGTTGTGGCKTTCAGGAAGTTGTACTTTTGAAGATCATTTTTTGGGAATGATACATAAGRTGATTAACCTGATCATTCTTTCCTAATCCATAAAGTTACTTGCAGTTTTACAAAACATTATCTATACTTACCCATTAATTTATTCCGTTCTTCTGGAAAGACTCCAAGATGCATACTTTCTTCTTTTCACTTTAATCTTTTTCTTAAATTTATTATTGGCTGTATAATCTCCTCATGATGAAGTAATATGACTATATTCTGCTCTRTTCTGTCATAGAAGTCATGTATCCTCCTACATTATTTGTTTGAATTATTATGATTGATTTCTAAATGTTTATAAAGTTTTTGAGATTATTTTAGATTTCTTCAATTCTAAACCCTAGAGGCAGTTATAATAATAGAAAGCTTGATTTTTTAAATTGTCATTTTTTTCCAAAATGTATTAMGGGGGGGTTTAATTATTTATAGTACACAAATTAATAAGACAGTATTAATTAATCAAAGGAAGCTTTAAGGTCATTGTTTGCCTGTAACAAGAATTTAATTAAGGAAAGCATACAGTGTGTWAGGCTCTCCAGCATTGGTGGCGGCTCAGTTGATGCAGGAAAAGGGCATGAATTAATAACAGTATAAAAAAGCTGGATTCCATCCTAAAGGTTTTCTTGTTAGTTGCTGATTTCATCAATTAAGCTAAGTGGAAAAGATTCTTTGTTTATAAAGAACAGAAAATCTTGTCTCTGCCTTAAGTCATTATGCATAAATTAACAGGGTTTTTCCAGTACAAGATCCAAATTAGTGCAATGAAATTTAACGATTTCACTAATATAGAGAATGCTCTCTCAAACTTATCATCATATTATACATTAAGTTTATAGCRCTGTAAAATATATGATTTTTGGTGTCATTTTGGAACATAACCTTCTGAGGAATTTTTGGTAGATGCCTCTCTAGATCTGCAAGTTTAGGCTTCAATTTAGAAACCCTTCTAATAGTTGCAAGGCTGTTGTAGAGGAGGCTGCTGCTGTTTAATGATGCCAATACTGTTTTCTTTCTAATATAATGATCCTCCAGAGTTTTTCGTCCAAACTAATATCTTCATTTTCTGGAAATTATTTATAATCATTGATCAAAGTGTAGACTGAAAAGTTTTTATACTTAAAAGTTTAAATACTATGCCAAATGTGCATAATAAAACAATATTGTTTTCCTAAATTATAAAAATAGGTAGATGATTCTTACCATGAAATTTCAAAATATKAAAATTAATCAGAGCATCATGCTGTAATCAGAACCACTCTGAGCTTTAGTGTGTGATGCACAATTACAAAATACAAAATACAAGTTGACATAAAAATTTTAATACGCAAGAGCAAAATTATACTCTGGGCTTTATGCTTTGAATGGGGAAGCTGAGTTTTGTGATTATATTAGAAATATCTTACACCACCACACAAAAATAAGGCTAATTGTGTKAGTCAATCATACTTGGAAAAGCAATTGTTATGACTACTAAAGAAGCTTTCTGTGTACTTTTACATGCAATTTTTCTTGAAAATAATAAATGTATTGCAGTGTTGTAAAATTATTTCTCTATATCCATTTGAATGTTTTGACCATCGGACTGTGAACTATTCCCACCGTATCTAAGAGTAATACTATGGAATGCTGCTTTGATACTTGATTTGATTCTTTTTGTTTGGGGGGGGGGCAGGGAAGGCAAGCAAAGCAGAACAAAACTCAGTATCTCTGGTTTTGAAGTAACTTGAAGTAATTAACATGCGAGAGCTATCCACTGATAAAAACTAAAGCCCCATACTCCCTCTTGTGGTTTATTCTGAAGAACATGAAAAAAATATTTATATGGGTAAATATATGTATAGGTACACACGTATAGGTATAAAGTATTATTTACATTTACACAGAAAATAAAGGTAAAAAAAAAACTTTCAACTTTTAATAAAGTTCAAATTTGCTTGTTTTTAATTGCATCAGAACATGTGCTTCACCCTGAAGGACGTGTTTTTATTCATCCTCAGATTTAATGTACTTACATTTTAACAGATTCTTCTCTCTGGGAGTTTTCCAAATCCAGTGAGGCAACTACTTGGGCTCCATGTTGGATACTATAGAATAYCCCAGCTGAGGAGAAACTAATGGCTACTCAGTACTGCTAGTAAAGTTGAACTCTCAATAACCATTACAGAAGAAAAAAATTCTCCTGTTAAAGGAYTATTTAAAGAAGCAAAAAGGAATTTCACTTCTATTTAGAAGCTCTGCTGGAGTTTTTGCCATATCCTTGCCACTTGCATCCAATTCCTTTCTGGGAAATTTAAGTCTTGTAGTAGTGTAACTAAGAGCATTTCTAACGGTGGAAATAAATAAAATCATTCTGTTTGCTTGCTTTTAATTTAAGAAAGGGAAAATTTACTGTTGTAGTTACTACCATTTAAGAAGAATGAAAAGAGAAACAATCTTGACAAATGCAAAGAAATGTTATTAGAAACATGTTGTCTACAGATGTGTTTATTCTGAAGTATTCCTTGCCTTTTTGTACATCAAAATTATGGTATGCTTTATGTATCATCTGTACTTGGTAATAGCAAACAAACCCCTACATATTATTTGGTTGSGATGATTCATCTAACCTCTTGTTCTTGAGATTTTACTGTATCTCAATAAATGAAATTGCCATGCTTTCTCTATTACTGATAGTTTTCATATATTCCTATTCTATGTGAAGTTTTATAATAGAGGAATAGAAAGGAGGTGACAGAGTAAAAAAAGAATTAGCCCCTTTCAGGTGCAATCACCATGAAAGTATGAAACAAATATTGCATTAAAACTCTGGTTTTCATTTGTTGTTTTTATTGTCCGTGTAGAAAAGTGACAATAATGGAAGACTCTGATCAAAACATACATCTGAAAAACCTKTCTCTTCAGCAAGCAACCAATGAAGAGGAAGCCTTAAACCTACTCTTCTTGGGGGACACCAACAGAATGATTGCTGAGGTGAGATTTGCTGCTCCAAACCTTTCTTAACACCACCAGAGTTAAAATGGTCATAAACCTCTCTCTCAAATAAGATTTATATTTTGGAAGTCCTTGGAGATAAGTTAGTATCCTCTTTTTAAGTATATGTCCACAGTGAAATTAATTTCTCTTTCCATAGCGGATCATATTGGTGATTCTTCATGTCATAACTTACTGAAATTCAAATTAAAAGAACACGAAAATTCTTCTAAACTGTAGACTGATTGTGAGTGTGACATGTATGAGCATACGTAGACAATGTAAAGATTAGAAAACATAGCCTTACAGAGCATTGTCAAGCATTCCCATTGAAGTTTTTTCCCTTGGAAGTATTCTACACCAGGTTGGATGGGGTGCTGAGCAACCTGTTTGAGTGGAAGATGTCTCTAATCATGGAGTGTGAAGGGATTGGGGAATTGGAATGAGATGATCTTGAAGGTCCCTTCCATCTCAAACCATTCTATGATTAAGCACTGAATTACCTCTGAAGTACTTAATGTAAGCAAGGCCCCTCTTTTTTTCCTTCTTGTTGCATAAACATGTGCTGTTATGTGTAAAAACACAAAACAAAAATAACCCCCCCAAACCAAACAAAAAAAACCCCGAACCAAACAAATAAACAAAACCCACCAAAACCCAAAACCACAAATGGTAGTTCAATTAATTTCAAAATAAATATGTGTCAAGGGTGTTTTTACTGATTCYGAAAAATTCAAATGAAATGTTGGCATATCCAAAATCTGGAAGATTCTTCTWTTTCTTCATGCTTGGCTGTGGAATGTAGATATAAAAAGTGTATTGAATAATGTGAGCACTGTCAATGTGTCTTTATTGGAATACAGTTAATTTTCTATTAGAACTTCACGGGTTTTCTTCCTCCAAGAGGATATGTCACAAAATCACTGACAAGAAAGACATAGAGCATATGAAATAGTCAGGTAATTCTGTGTTCCTGCTGGATGACTGCATACACCTGGACACAGGGAAAGAAGCATTTGATTACAAAATTTAAATAGGCAACAAAAATATTTGTTCTCTTTCTCAAGGAAGAATATTTCAACAGTTACATTTTGAGAGGTAGGAATACTTTAAGGCAAGAGGTAATCACCATAAGGGCTGYTGATAAACATGAGTATTGAGTGAAGAAACTGCTTCATGATATTGAAATAGAAAACTTAATGCAATGTAGAGGAGAGAAACTTGACAAAGTGTAATAGAGAAGAYGGATTAATCTAGAGATCTAAGAAGGAGGATTTATGACATAAAATGTAACTTCTCCAGAGATCCATATTTTTAAATCTTATGATAATACCTTCTGACCTCTGAAGATTAGAACCCTCTTAAGCAAAATCTAAAGAAAAAGAGACAAGATTATTAAACATAAATAGAGAAGAAAGCAAAATCAATGCTTGATTCATCTTTTTAATGATCTGGAGTTTGGCTGTGGAAAAACTCATGACTGGCATAGATCACATATGAGATATGTAGCCTCTAAAACTGCAGTCTAGTGCTTTACGCTTGAATAATCCTTCTTTGAAGAGTTGGCTATTTTGAAAATAAGAATGACAATTTAATTTCTGCATTGCCTGTGCTAGTGCAGTTTAACTGGTGATTTGAGGGCAGCATTTTTCCTACACCACTGATTGTGCTAAAAAATAGTCATCACAAGATTTAAAGTATTCTACAGGCAGCATTCATTCATTCATTCATTAAATGTCAGAACCTTAGGGAGCATTTATAACCAAATTTTTCTTTCCGACACATAACTATATAGCCCAAGAGAAGGAGAAAAAAGAAGACTAGTCTTGTTTGTGCAGGATTGCTTTATTAGACAGTGCAGGACTGGTCCTTTGCTCTMGTTTTGGCTACAAGTTGTGGAAATGGTAAGATGGGAGACAGTTGTGTACAGACAAATCATAATGTAAAAATCCAAATAGGAACTTTTTGTCTCATGTTCTGCCACAGAAAAATAGGCAGAGATTGAAACCGAAAAGAACTGGCAGCTCTGTGAATATAAGGGCTATATTTTCATTTGTTTTTCCAATAAAGCAGTTTCTTGTTACATTTGGATGCGTAAGAATCTGCAGCAACAGGTTACGGAATCTGAATTCCCTTTCTATATTTTAATGTGTTAAGACAACTTTATGACTTTGGCATTTGAAATGCATGCTGAGGATTTCAAAATCTAATTTGCAATATAAACAGTTGGTAGCAGCAACATCTAAAAAAAGCTCCTGTATGGAAATAAGTCTTTAGCCATTTAGGTAGTCTTCACAAACCATTTTATTTTGATATATTGTTAATATAGCTTCAGTTAGGTTTTTGTGATGGGACTCTCATATGATCTCTGTCTTTTGAAATAAAATGCCTAAACCTCTGTGGTTGAGCATTCTTAGTGTTATTTTTTTTGTATTTCTCTTAAAGTAGCAGAGTAAGGTAGCCTCCCAAGGATRTGAATCAGTTTCAAAACTGTAAAATCTTTATCTGAGTGTAATATATCTGAGCACTGCAGTTGCATCAAATCCTATTTGAGCACATGCAGTTGCATGTACAGTTATTTTTTATAGAATTTATTTTTCCTCTAATGAAAAAGTACACTGTTTTAATGAGGAAGGAAATATTTTAGTGCATGATTTTATTCCCATGGTACTCAATTTTTAAAATTTGGGAGATAGTGCATATTACACAGTATTTGTTGAATCATTTTAAATGTTTGAAGTACATTTGGGGCAACCAGTAAACTTTTGGCAATGTTTAAATATGTTTATTTCTAGAAAGCATGAAACTTAAGGGTTTAAGGATAGTTGTGGGGACTGACTTCAGACCTCTGAATTGAACTCATTCTATTTGTATTCATTGCACATTAGTATTCTCTTCAATATTTTTAGAAAGTCACTGATAGTGTTTGACTGCATTCTTTATTGGATGAAATAGGAAAAATAGGATTTGAGAATGTGATATCACTTTTGGCAAAAATGCATGCTATCTGTGTTAGCACTGCATTCTGGAAGAAATTACAACTTTCTGCTTTCCTAGGTTCCTCATTTGTGTCAATTGTTAATTTATTTCCACTCTGACAAACCTCTTGTATTATTAGTACCAAATGATATCATCATTTCAGCACAGTACTTTCATTTCCATGTGTGATCAAAAATGGCTGGTCATATGTACTACTTTGAATAGTCCTTAAAATGCTTTGGGGTCTCTATGGAAAAAAAGKACCGTATAACATAAGGTTTAATAATATTTTCATCAGGCAATATTAATTACTTTAAAAGTTATCATGGTCTAACTGTGAAACTGTACTTGTAGTAAATATGGAAATTACTGCTTTCAGGATGTGATTGCTTCTATTCTGATCCATATATTTTCATTGCAACCGTTTCTCAATTTCAACTRTGTCAAGTGTTGACAACTGTAGAGAAGCTTCACCCGTATCATATTATTTAGAAAGGAAACTAAAGACATATTAAGGAATCTCTCATGTACCTGATATGAAGACAATGTACCTCCTATTGTTTAATTTACATGTTCTTCCTTATATCCTAGTTTTGTTGGGACTGGTAGCTTATATTCATTAGGCAGAGATATCCATCTGAACTGTGAAATTGCTGTAGCTATCATAAAATCTGCCTACAGATATCCCCCTGATTCTAGCATGAGATTGGCAAAAAATGATTTGATGTCAGTCTTGGATGCCATCAGCACTATTTCTTTTTTCCTTGGTCTTCTTTGAAAAGTTCAAAAGCAAAAACCACGTTAAGAAGAAAAAGAAGCACTCCTTAAAAGAAAATTTTGTACCTCTTCACTGAAATGTTCTCTCAAAAAAATGTGCACAYTCAGAATCAGCCTTCCTTTATGCATTGGCATTGGCTAGTCTCTAATTCACTCATACAGGAAAATCATGTTCTGCTGCTATCTAAATATTTTGATTCAAGGAAGAAAAGATTCCACTGGAATGGTGTAAGTTGCCAAATAGAGATGGTTTGCAATATGGGCTGAATAACTGCATTTATCACCTGAAAAATTCTTTTGTCCCAGCAGTCCTGAACTCTTTCATGTATTTTCTCTGTCAGAATGTTTTGGCAGCCATAATCAAGACATTATTCTTCCAGATAGTAGCAGCTTCTGTTAGKTTAGTGGTGATTTTTGAAAAGCTTTTCATATGTCTTTGCCCTATTTAAGAAACTTTATCTTTCTTTGGTCCTCAATTATTAAGAATTCTATTTAAATCAGTACTATCCATTTCTGGCTATTCTTAGTGAAAACAACATTTATAGTAGCAACTGCAACAAATAAAGGTTTTGGGAGATACATAAATTCTATAGGAAGAAGTCCGGCAGTTTTTTTCTGACGTAAGATAGGTAAAAATTAGATTAAGGTGAGCAACTTAGATTCCAGCAAGTCTTTGGATGTCTCTTGACTTTGTATTCCTTGACAGAAATATCCAACTCAGATGCTTCTTGCAGTGTGACTGTGCTGTGGATACTCATTTAAGCAGAAACTGCCTTCTTGTGACCATTTTATAAATAGATGTAGTAGTTAAAGTCACAAAGCTCCTATACAGTTTGTTTAATTTTAGCAAACACAGATATATTCTGGTCCTGGGTGGCTTGTATGGCATGAAATACACCTTGTGCATATTTTCCATGATCAAATGAAACACTACTGCTTTACCAAGTCATGATCTTAAATGTTAGAGAATTTGTCCTATACCATTCCTCAAATAGGCAGCAACAGATGACCTGGCATTAATTCCTTTGTAGTGTTCACGTGATATCACAAAGCATCTGAAGTCTGCTTATGTGGTTTATGATGTCACAGAATTTCTGGAAAAAATTATTTCTTTGTAAGTAACTGCAGCTCATCAGTTGTTCTATATCTAACTCTCACAATAGCAACCATCTGCTGAGAACCAGGCCACTCCCCTCTTTCTTTTTTTTTCCTTCATCACATCAAATTAGTGTGAGGATGATTTCATATACATATGGTTTGAATACTGCTAACAAAGCCAAAATGAACTCTGAAAACCACTAAAGGAACATTTAAGTAGGCTCTGACACACTGTCCAGAAAATTTTATTTGTTTGTTTTCTGTTTTCAAACTTTCCAAACAGAGGAATAGTGATACTCAGAAGTTGCATTTGTAAGATAGAAAAAAAAACTACACAAATGAAAAAAAAAAAAGACTTGTCTTTGGACTGAAGATGCTAAGTCATCATTTCTGTTGTGTGCTGTGCATCTACTTGTGTGGTAAAAGTAGCCAAATGTAAGGGGATTATGCAACTCACATTTCATTATCACATCCCATTTAACAGTTTAAATTTTTATTGCTTTATGCTTTCTGCAAGAATTCTAACAGAGCTTCTTATATATGGGAACTGCAAAGTGGAGATGGAATCATACTGCAAAAAATGAATATTGGTGGTGTGGTTCTATTCTCAAGGACTTTACACAAATATCAGTTTGGGATTCTAGCCAATGACTTCCAAATGAGCTTCATTCATGTTTTCATTTACATAAGAAAAAGGAGCTGTGGAGAAAAAAAAGCAAWGGAATTTCTAATGTCCAGTGCAGCCAAATCTATTTGGAGCATGTGAAATAAAGTTGTGGTTAGTGTATTGCAATAGGCAATAAAAACCTAGTTGAGCAAATATTGCCCTGTGCTTTTGGAACTCAGAGTCCTGAAATTATTTTCTTCTATGATTTGAATTTTTTTTCCCACTGTTGGCATTAAACAGGTAAAATGWTTAAAAAGTGACTAAAAGCACATTTTGAAATAGGTGAGGTTTTGCTGCAGTGTGAAACTCAAGTTTGYTTAAGAATGCTTATTCAGAAGTATGATGATTTCTTCAGCTTCTTTCATAACAATGTTTGTTCTGTGTTCCACCACTGGACCTGTACTGGTATTCAGTCTGGCTTAGAGTTGTCTGCAGTATAGAGTGACTGATGCCATGTCTGTAGTGCAAAATGTCCTCAAATATCAGTTCTGTTGAAGAAAATGTCCTTAAATATTAATTCTGTTGTGGATTTTGAGCTGGGAAAAAAAAATCCAGTCCTGCTTTACAGAGCTACAAATAATAAAATTATAGCTGTCCTAATAAAGTTGATTAAGCTGGCTCTAACTATTCACAGAATCAGATTGCTGAATAAAGTACATTTTCACAGCATATAACTTTTTCTGGGTATAACTGTGTTTTAAGTAAGTTTGGGAGTATTTTCTTGCTTGACACCTTTTCCTCAGTCTGTTTATTTTCATTCCAACACTACAACTCACTTCCCCTTCATTTGCCCAGCCTCACCTCTGAGGACAGCATAGTATGTGATTGTACTCKGATGCTCATTTCACAGCTCGTGAATTCCAAAATTCCTCATCTCTATAAACTAATGATTAAAATTCTTTTCCTTCTCTGTCCGAGCTTGCCTTTATTAGATAAAGCAACCCAAAAGAAAATTGTGSTAAGTTTGAAACTTCCTTACAGAATTTTCACCAACTACAACTGTATGCTATTCCTGCACATTACCTACTTGTTCCCGTCCTGTATRCTGCCATTTTCAGGTATTCTGCCAGAACTGTTTTCTATAGCTGTGCTGTGGCTGAATCAAGAAACCAATCCAGGGTAAATATCTAGGGTTTTCAGACATTTTTTTTTTTTCTTTAAACTGGATCAGTTCCCAAAACCAGTTTGGTTGTGCTGGCACTATTAAGGCTGAAAAAAAAAAAAAAAAAAGGAAATTGAAGTGGAGATAATTGAACTAAGCCATACAGCTGTCCATATTTTTCCTGYAGAAGGACTGTTCAGCTTGCAGTCTTTCTGTTAAGGGCTGTCCTTTCTGGATTAACAAGATGACAYCTTCAACACCTGCAGTGGGCAGGCTATTTTAACATCCACGATGTTGCATAGTAAAGCAGACTATGTAAAAAAAGGCAATATACTGGTATATCTGGTCTGAATCATAGGTATGCCTACATAAAAAATTTCTTCAGAATAACAGAGAAATAAAGTACAGACAAGAGATTAATACAGACAGTATAACCAGGATTTTTTAATTCATTTTTTCCACAGCTATAAATAAATGTCTTCAGTTGCTAMCTCAATAATACTGATTTATTAATTTATTTTACTACTCTGTTTTTTTTTTAATATCTGGCATTTATGTCCTGAAAACAATGYAGTGATACTTGTTATACTTTATGAATAAAAATACTATCTGTATGCTAACCTTAAATCTCCATATATAATCTAAAGCTTTAGCTATTTATAAAATGAGGATAAYAAGGAATTATTTTAGATTCAAGTTTCTAACAACACCTTGATACAACTAAACAAAAGGTACTTTAGATGCTCAAAGATATATTCCTTTTTTTTTTTTTTAAGAAAAATGCATGTGTGGTGCCATATGGTCATTTGAAATCTAAAGTTATTTAACTTTAGACAGCTGTGTAAAATTTTCTGTTCTGCATTTCAAATAYGTGGAGAAAACCTCTGAAGTGATGCTAAAACTGAAGATCTCCAAAAATTGACCAAGAATTTCCATGTGTCAAGTTAAGGAAGTATGGCTGTAGTTATTCACAAAAAAAATATTTAAAGCCAAACATTTTATGAAAACCCTCTCATGCCACCTAAAAATCTGATGCAGATTTTGTCAAGTAAAATTTTTTTATAAAAGTAATAATGTAAAAATCTAAAGCCTTATAGGAAGTCCTAGTCCTAGTTACAGGGGTAGCTACCTATCAAGAAAAAAAAAAAAAGGAAGAATTGGTGCACCAATGGAGAAATTAACAACTTCTTGGAGATCAGGGCKTAGTAACTTCCCCTCCAGTCAAAGTGCCTTTTTCTAGTACTCCTCTCATAGTAAGGCCACTTGCTTTGACCATATACTCAATGTTAGAGTATTTTGGAACAACCTTGATTGCTTGCAGCACARTTTGTCCAGATTAAAGTTCTCCAAGTATTTGTCCAGAATGTGAATGTTAGTTAAATCCTTTTGGATTTTTTTTGCCTGTTTATTACAGATACAATGTCTAAAAAATTGGATAGATTATCTCAGTTGCCAGATCATTGAGCTATAAAAACCTAAATTTATTTATCCACTGAACATCTAGAGCTCTTCCTTTCTTTTCATTGTAGACACCAATGAATCAAGCCTCAAGCCGATCTCACTGCATTTTCACTATTCACATCTCCAGCAAGGAACCTGGATCTGCAACTATCCGACGCTCCAAGTTGCATTTAGTAGACCTTGCTGGATCGGAACGTGTTGCAAAGASTGGAATTGGAGGTCAATTACTGACAGAAGCCAAATATATCAACCTGTCATTACATTATTTGGAGCAGGTAAAATTGAAATATAGTAAAACATTTCCCCCTTCACTGCATTCCTGTTTAACAATGTACAATGTTTCAGAAAACTTGATTCCAATATTCAATTAGTCTTAGAATATTCATGGTAGTTTTTTAAAATCATTGAATTGATAAGTCTTCCTTTAAAAGAACATATTTTAATTCAGGGAAAGCTTAACAATTAAGCAGTAAGGTTATAGTAGGTATACCGGGTAGTATTTCCAAAATAGTTTTCTTGTTTTCTTTGGAATACTAAAGATACTTACAAGATTTCAGCTATATTTCTCCTAAAAATGTTTTTTGTAATCTTCCCCTTCCACAGCTAGAATCAGGATGTATCATTGAAAAAAAGCATTTGGGTTTTATTTGCTTCAGGCATTGTAATATCGTAAATTGTTAGGTTCTTCTCTTGTGTGTGGCTTTATACCTCTACCAATTTAAACCTTTGATCTCTTTGAGACAGAAGTTATCTTTGGTAATTTATTTATGGAGTGACTGCCATAATTAGATTTATACCAGTAGAACTCACAGAGGCAACTACTATAATAATGATAATATATCTCCACACATCTTTGTCATTCTGCTGTTACTACTAAAAAGATTTGGCCTCTTGATTTAAGGTATACTAAAATCCCTATCCTCCTTTCAGTGTTGCTTTTTATTTTTCCTCTTTGGTAAAGGCAAATACTGAGAAAATAGATTACTCTTAACTAATCGTATTCATTTAAAAAAAAAATACTTAAGACAGCATCTGTGAATGGAAACTGTGGAGAGAAAGATTTCCAGTAGAAAGATTTGATTAATTATTATTAGTATTCTAAATATGTATTTTACAATAATTAGATAATTATAAATTTAATAATTATTTCAATGTTCATATATTTTTAAATATTATTAAGGCTTTAGTATGTATCCTTTGGTCTACCGTGATGTTTTATGTGTTTGATGTTTATGATGCTTACCAAGTAAGGGAAAGAAACACTTGGAGATGAATGAAATCTCTTTTGTGAATGCTGTGCTATTAAATTTCAATTAATGAAGACTTTTGGGTGTCCGTTTCAGACCTCACACCTGTAAGAGAAATTAATTTCTTCCTAAGACTGAATATATAGTATTCTTTTCACAGTACAGGAAACACTGTCCCTGTTGCTAGAAATTAATTATTTCAGGAATTCTGATGGAAAATATACTACTTTTTCATAAGGCTTCTTTAAAAATTTTTGTGTACCAACATAGCAKGTCTGTGAGGCTGTCATTTAGGGGAAGAAATAAGAGAGGTAGGGAGAAGSAAAAAGGCTTAACTCTAAATTTTAAATCTGTACTTTTTAATTTACATTACAGTATATGTGCTCTGTAGTAAAATACTCAGTTGAGGAATTCATTAAACCAGGAAATTTTGTGGGTGTGTATATGTGAAAATTCTTTAAAATTTTGTTTAGGAAATGCAACTATTATACTTGCTGGGAAGAATATTCTTTTCTTTTGTCTTACATGATTTTCTGTTAACAAGAAAATATATCTTAGATTTAATTTAATTTATGATCAGAAATATGTAATCTGTCAAAAGAAGCTCAAGGTACAGCAGGTGGCAGTCAGTCATTTGCTATCACACTGAGATTTTTCCATTACCCTCATTTGTTTAAATTTTACCTTGAAGAAAAATGTCTTTTTGAGTTGTACTCAAGGGAATTGATAAGCATCAGTGACTCTAAAATGGAGCATCTTCAGAATCATACAAATCATATTCAATTACCTTTTTATTTATTATATGATTTTTATGTATTTATAATGCAATATGCATTATGTTTCAGGAGTATGTTTCAGGACACTCCGATCTGAAGTGCTGCAGAAGAACTTTTAATTCCTATTTTAGAAGAAATACAGTTGTAAATAAGCACACTGCATGCTGTCTGGGATTGTGTATCATTAATAAAAATTGTTTCTAATATTGATTAAAAGACCACCAAAGACAGTAAAAATATCTTTGTTCAGTGGGAATTGGACCATTCAATCCTGACCTTTCATTGACTTATATTAAAGYACACAAATGCCTGAAAATCAGCTTATTTAAATTCTCAACTGTTTAGTTATCTGCTAATCAACAATCAATAGTTTTAATTTATGCCAATTTGAAACACTTTTCACAGTAAAAGAGTCATGCAAAATTATTTGTATCAAGATGACAATAGGAACACAATTCTGTGTTATCACACCTGGTCTACTTGTTAAATATCTGCAGTGTATTAAAAAGATCCTAAAATAAATCAGCTGCACTTTTACTCCAAGTGGCCTCTGTGTCTAGAGAAAAATGAAGATATTTTAATGCAGCTGATCTGAAAAGACAGCAGGAATTTAGAAGTCCCTAGTACCGTATCTRGGTATCTCTTTGTCTGAGAGATGTAGCAGCACATTCTGAAATTACAACTGCATTGTAACTGTGCATATGTAGATACTCCCTCATGATACAAGTATACAGGATCCTGGACCAAGTTTARAATTGCAAATTAACAGTTATACTGTCACATGATTAGACAATATAATGGAATTATTTCCAAAAGTAATAGAATACAATGTTCTYACTGCTTTAATGAATACGTTTTTTAGCTGTCATTTAGCATCTGTTCCATTTAGGGAACGTTGAGAGGTTTTACCCAATAGTGAATAGTTGCTACCACATTTGCCAAAGTTCTGCTACTAAAATTTGAAAATAGGGACAGTCATCAAATGCTAGATTTATATGCATTCTGTAGAAAAGATAATCCTCTGTTTGATGGTTCTTTATTAAAACACTAGAGTAAAAGAAAAAARAARKKRAMYTTTTTTTTTTCTCCTCCAAGGATCAGAGTTAAGCTTCTAAACTCTATTAGAAATAGGGATGTAGGCTGGGTGACATAGAAAAAGACCAGGCAYATGGCTTCATGTGATACATTGAACAGCAAGATACAGGTGTGACTGRCAGCTCTACTTCTGCAAGTGATGCACCCTAAAATCTCCATCTCTTGAGGATTCTCTGAGAGCATGTTCTGGCTGCCTGTTGGTATGAGGTTCTGGTGTAATTCTGTTCCTTGCACAAAGAATGTGGACAGAAACAGGGAGTCTTGGGCACACTTCAGATCATGTCAGAACCACTTGTGAGTCTTGCGCTTTCCTTTGTGCTTAACAGTGTTTCCACATGTTTCAGTTGAGTTATTTGTGAGTAATTGTACCTGCTCTATACAGGAAGTAACATTACAAAAAGTGGCAAGAATTCTGGCAGCCACTAGGCCTTAAAGTGGTTTGTTTGACCCACTCAAAATKAAACTTTCTGCTTTAAATTATATTGATTTAACCAGCATAATTCATAGTCCTGCTTTAGTGATATCATTAAGCTTAGTACTACCAGCATTAAAAGAAAAAAACAAAAAAAAACCCCAGAAAATAAAAAGAAGAAAAACCTTCTTATATCAAAAGGATAATAACACTTTCTTAAATGAGACAATCTTCTGATTATCTCATTTGGTGCCTCTTAGAGAATCCAGGTTCAGCTTTTGTACAGGTGGTCTCTCTCACTTTGTGAAAGAGAATTATTTCCTTCTCCTTCAGATTCTCATCTTTCTATTCCAAATTCCTTGATTGAACTGTAAGATTGATTTAGGGATTAAGGTGAGGTTTTACTAATGGGACATAAGACTAAAATTTGCTTTGTTATGTGATTCTCACATGACAGTAACACAGATTCTGCATCATGAGGGCTGGTCACACTGTTTTTCAGTGTTCATGTGGGAGGATTCTGATTCTACCTTGGCTACAGACTTCCTGCATGAAGTTCAGTAAAAAATTAACTTCCCTGTAACAAAGATCACATTTTTAATGGAAAGAACATATCTTCTCTTGAGATCTTTTCCCTTCTTGTCTATTCAGATTATAGTCTCTGTGTGGCAGAGGCTGAGAATGTGCTTACTAATRTATGCACTAGATCACTATGAGGTCRCTATGCAATATTATAAACCAAAAAAGCTTTAACATTTGCTGTTAAATGCAACAACATTTATTATATAACAAGTTTTATTATATGAGATTTGAAAATCTTGATCCAGGAATGGGTTTCTGGGTTCTTTTAAAAGGTAGTAATTTTCTTATTATGCATTTGTGTCTCTCAGGGCTGCCAGTATAAGATTTATAGTGYTAACTTTTATCTTTCTGAAGATCATTAAGAGAAACTAATGCCACAAAAAAGTAGCTAGTAAATTTTCTAAACTAGCAATTTTTGTAAATGTAGCATAAACAAAATACATACTGGTATGCAACATTTATTTAAGAAAAACGAACTCCTAATAATTTAGGAGAGCTTGCACAACTCACATAGCTGTAGTTTTTCAGTACAGTGCTTGGCCAGGTGACAGTTCAAATCTTTTATATCACAGGACATCATGGAGTAATCTAGCTTTTTATTTAATAATAATTAGGTCCCATAATGTAAACAGCTGAGGAGGAAAACTGAGACTAGTAGGTGTACAATTTCCTTTTTGGCCAAGGCACATATATTCTAAACTGAATCATTTCTTTCCAGCAGTACATTGTAATCATGCACSCTTTTATTTGTGCTTTGCTTTCCAAGACATTTTCTCAGAATTAAATGTATTGGCCCATCTAAGAAGCATGTGCTTTAAGAATGTGTGATTTTTAAGGCATGCTTTAGCAAACATTGAGGAAGTTTTTACTTTAATACTATCCATATTTTATTGTTATGACAGAAAAAGTMTGAGGAAAATTTTCAGTAAGTTCCTGTGTCTTAGGAAAAACTGAGTTTGAGTTTATCGTGTTCAGTTTCCATGTTGCTGAGAGATTGTAAGGCTAGGGTATGATAAAATTTAATGTATTTGGTCTTTCAGGTCCAGCTCCTACAAAGACATATAAACATGCTGAAATTTAAGTTGGAATTCTTTCAATAAAGCCAGTGGGTTTGCAGCTAACTGGGTGCATAAGTGTAGTTTAGTTGTGTCAGAAGTTCCTGGGCAAATTGGGGTTTCTTTTTATGTCCCARTCATTAACAGACGTATAAATTCAAAAGTCTTTCCTATTTTTGTTGTTGTTTCAGGTAATAGTTGCCCTTGCAGAGAAAAACCGGTCCCACATTCCTTACCGAAACTCTATGATGACCTCAGTGCTGAGAGACAGCCTGGGAGGCAACTGCATGACCACCATGATAGCAACACTCGCTATGGACAAAAGAAACATAGATGTATGTTCTTTCTGTCTAGGCTAAACAAAAATCTTGTCACTTTTCTATAGGTTCTGCTATTTTGATTTTTAGTATAGATTACAATTCAAGTGTGTAAGGTTTTATTCTTATTCTTTTAAAAGAACATTTAAATTTTGTTTCCAGGAGATAACTTTATTAGTGGAAATTGCTGTAAAATATAAAAAGAATCCTTTAGAAAATGTGCTTTTCTTTAAGTAATCTCGAGTCAAGTAGCAGTTGGGAAATGAATTGCACCTAGTACTGAACTACTCTTTTTTTTAAATTTACTAAATTTTGAGATTTATATCCTAATGAATAAATTTTTGAGTTATAAAAGTGCATTTCACTGAAAACCTTGGCAGAACTTCTATTAGATTTCTTGGGAGCCAAGATTTCATGAAGTATGGTAGACAAGTTGAGAGTTCACTGGGAGAGAGGAAAATTCCATGGGGTAGTTTGAGAATTACTGAAATTTTTCAAATACTTTTGTGTCCCTTCACTTGCACTGGGTAGTGATGTTTTCTTTGTTCACAAACAGGTCTAGTTTTTATCAAAGGGTTGCAGTGAATGGGGGCTACATCTGGCTGGAGACTGGTGATGCTCCTTAGGGTTCAGTTCCAAGCCAGTTCTGGTCAATACATTGATCAGTGATCTGGATGCAGGAGTTGAATGTCCCATTGGCAAGTTTGCTGATGATATCAGATTGAGAGGTGTTCACTCTCTTGAGGGACAGGAGGCCTTGCAGAAGGATCTAGGTAGAYTGGAGTATTTGGCTCTGTTAATGGGATGACCTTTAACTAAAGTTCTGAACCTATAATGGAGTTATACCCGACAAAAGCATAATTTAGGAGAGGAATTACTTGAAAGTAGCCTGCAAGAATGAATCCAGGGGTGCTGGTCAGATGAGCAGGGAGCCCAGGTAGCCAATAGGACACCACAGCCTGGGATGCATCAAACRCAGCACAGCCAGCAGGTCAAGAGRGGATTATCCTGCTGTCTGCCATTCTCACCTTTCTGTGCACTTTGTGCAGTTCTGGGCATCACAAATTGAGGGGGACGTGAAGATCCTTGAATGTATCCAGGGAATGGCAACAAAGCTGGTGAAAGGCTGGAAGAAATATCCTGTGAGGAGCMGCTGAGGAATTTGGGCTTTWTTAGTTTGGAGCARAGAAGGCTGAGGSTGACYTCATTGCTCTCTACAGCTCCCTGAGGAGGAAAAGTGCAGAGGGAAATGTTGATCTCTTCTCTTTGGTATCCAGTGATACAATGTATGGGAATAGTTCAAAGCTGAGCCAGCAGAGGATCAGGCTGGACATTAGGAAGCATTTCTTTGAAAGGATGGTCAAACATTGGAMCAGGCTGGAGATGTGGCCAATGCCCCAAGCCAGTCAATATTTAAGAGGTATTTGGACAATGCCTTTAGCAACGTGCCTTRACTKGGTCAGGCAGTTGGACTAGCTAATCACTGTAGGTCCCCTCCAACTGAAATAATCTAGTCTATTTTATTCTAAAATATGTAGCGATGTGAATACATAGAACACTGCTCAAAGCCATTTATAATTTAGTTATTTTCTGATTTTCTTAACATAAAAGCATCCTAATAGGAATAGACAGGGAAAAAATTTATTTCGTTTAACACTGTTTTCTGAAATACAGTGGAAAGCATTACCACTCAAACCATACTTCATCCAGTTACAGACTTTTTCTTTAGAAAAGTGGACTTTGCTGTTAAATGAMAACCTACTGTTCAGACTTGCAAACATGTAATTATGCAAGCAAATTATCTGGTTACAAATGCAACCAAGGAAGTCTGTTAGTCTTATTTTAAACTCTGTGAGATCAGAACCCTTTCATATTTGAATTCATCAGGTGTGTTTATCTCACATTATGTTCTAGATTTCTATTTTGGAAATTTTTAGACCAAGTAATTATCCAGAATAAGCTACTGACAATTTTCATGTTCTTGCTTTAACATATGCAATT